AAGACCAAGTTTGAGCTGGCGTAGAGACGCCGGTGCTCAGTTACTGTATACAACTGTATGCGTTTCGAAAATATTTCAGGTTACTATGTAACGAATCACCACATGTGACTGTCCTGGATATTCGGGTTCCTAGGTAGATAGAGGTTTGGAAATGTGCTTGATTTGCTCTTACCGTTACACTGTTTACATTCTGAAACTTTACATAGCGTAGCTGTATAATGCTTTCCTCTTTTATGTCATCTGCTGTTAGTTCCAGAGCTTGAGTAGGTTCACTTCTCATCGCTTCATCAAAATCCATAGATCGCGGCAGATTTATGAAGATTTTGACATACTTTGAACCCTGGCCTGTAGACGGAAAGAGAAAAAAGGATTTACCACTCTGCCATGACCTGCCAGTAAACGGAAGTACGGATTAGATTGCCCAGCGCTTGGGAAAAATGTTCCCGTCCGCTTGTCAGAAATGTTCCCGGTCAGGCTTATGCTCTGTGACAGCATAAGAGTTCTTATAGTCTAGAGCAGGGGTCTCAATGTACCGGGCCACGAGCCAGTACTATGTGGCCCACAGCCAGCAGACAAGTCAGGAACACAGTCACAGACCGCGTAACTGTCTTGTGGGCGCAGTTACATTTTTTTTGGGGGAAGTGTATTCATTTATATGTGTATATGTGCAGGGGTAGTTTTTTTTCAATGTGTATGGGGGGAGGGGGGTTAGTGTATTATTTTTTATGTGTAGTGGTAGTATTTTTTCAATGTGCATGGGGGTAAATTTTTATATGTGTGGGGGTGGTATTTTTTTTTATGCATGGTGGCAAATGTACTAGGCGTTTTTACAAGCGGCAGCTGTCACCCATTTAAAGTGACATTAAACCCTCAGATTTTTTAACATAAAACAATACTGTAATGTGCGCCTTACTGTTATCCATGGTAGTTTCCCTTCTCTTTGCTGCTCTTCCTTTTAAATCTGTATCGCTTCTCATGCTGGGCAGAACTTCTGTTTTGCGGCAGACTGCCTTGTCTCTGGAATGGATGCCTTGTCTCTGTGTGTAAGTTTGCAACCTGAGCCAGCACTACAGGAAGAGGCACTCAGCTGCAAAGGGAAGTTCTCCCCCAGCATGAGAAGACATGAGGATTTAAAAGGAAGAGCAGCAAAGAGAAGGGAAACTACCATGGATTACAGTAAGGCACACATTACAGTATTGGTTTATGCTAAAAAATCTGAGGGTTTAATGTCACTTGTGACAACGGCTGGATGTAAACGCCTGCACACCGCATGTAATCGTATTTAATATGATTATATGTGGTTAGGAATCAATCACTCTCCCCTGACGCAATGATTGTGCATCCAGGGAAAGTGTTTTCAAACTGCATGTAATCATATCACATACCATTACATGCGGAGTGCAGGCGTTTACATGCAGCAGCTGTCACCTGATTATTAACTTGGATGGGTGACAGTTGCCACTTGTAAACACCAGATTAGGCAGTCATGCTGCAGGAAAATGCAAATTGACATCTATAGGAATTAATAGGATTGCATACGGCATGAACACCCAAGTCTATAGGAATGAATAAAATTGCAGAGGGTATGGGCTTCCAAGTCTGTAGGCATTAATGGGATTGCAGAGGGCATGAGCTTGCGAGCCTTTAGGAATGAATAGAATGTCAGAGGGCAATGGGCTTGCAAGCCTATAAGAATGAATGGGATTGCAAAGTGCATGGGCTCACAGATCTATAGAAAGGAATGAAATTGCAGAGAACATGGGCTTGCAAGTATATAGGAATGAATGGTATTGCAGTGGGCATAGGCTTCTAATTCTATAGGAATGAATGGGATTGCAAATCTATAGGAATGAATAGAGTTGCAAAGGGCATGGGCTCGCAAGTCTATAGAAATCAACGCCCTTGCAGAGGGCATAGGCTTGCAGGTCTATAGGAATGAATGGGATTGCAGAGTGCATGGGCTCCCAAGTCTACAGCAATGAATGGGTTTGCAGAGGGCATGGGCTCCCAAGTCTATAGGGGTTAATGGGAATGCAGATGACATGGACTTGGAAGCCTTTAGGAATGAATGAAATTTTAGAGGGCAATGGGCTCGTAAGTCTATTGGAATGAATGTGAATGCAAAGCGCAAGCGCTGACAAACCTATAGTAATGAATGGAATTACAGAGCACACGGGATCACAAGTCTACAGGCGGAAAGGAGAATGTAGAGGGCATAGGCATGCAAGTTTATAGGAATGAATGGGATTGTAGAGGGCATGGTCTTTCAATGTTATACAAACAAATAAAATTGCAGAGAACACGGGCTGCAACTCTTTAGGAATAAACAGAATTGCACAGGGCATAGAATGGCAAGACTAAAAAAATGAATGCCTAGGCCAGGGCGTACATGGGCCCGGCCAGAAAGATTTCTGACAAGCTGGTGGATGATATATTGCTGGGGCAGGAGAGTTTAAAACTGGTAGTGGAGGTCTTGGTTGTTCTCATATAGAAGTAGAAAAAAATATGTATCTCGAAAAGAAAAGAAAAAATATGCAACAGCTTTAAACTAATCTGCAACTGTGAAAATAAATTAAACTATTTCACAGCTTATTTACACTAAGCTTTGACAAAGGAACAAGAGGTCTGAGGGCATTCAGCAGGAGACCATGCTGACAGTACACAGAGGTGCCTCAAATTGAACACAGCCTTCCAGAAGCACACAGAACAGGGAATTAGAATAAGGAGCGCTGCCCTTGACTTTGTTTATGTAATCAAAATGTTTGAACTATTCAAAGCTAAAGAGGTCTTTCATGGAGGATGAAAGGGGAGAAAAAGCGCTTTAACATCTTCAGGCCCAGCTGAAACAAGAGGATGCTCAAATAAATGATGGCTGGCATCAGGTCACACAATCTCTGTAATGATCCTTTATCCATAAAAGATTTGTTAAAAATTACTTTGTAAAATCTTAAAAGGGAAAATCCTGCCAAACCAGCAAATATGTCAGACACATATGAAAAGTTTTGTCTGCCAAAAGATTTATAAAGCAGTGCACACACTTATATAATTAGACTTTATACTCTAGACTTGTTCCTGTAATGGCAGCCTTCATAATTCTGCCATGACAATGTAAGAAAATTCTAAACACTTCCCATTGGAATATTTTAACAGCTTGCCACAAGTCCATTATATATATGCAGACGGACGGCACACTCTTCTCAGCGGCTCACCGTAAATAAAATGGCATTTTATTTTTCCTGTGTGCACGTGCCCCCTAGCGCAAATGCAAGCAGGACACTTTAAACATTTTAAACAGGCGGTGACGGCTGTTACTCACAAGCGTTCGCTTGTATGGTGCGTGGAAGTGTACGGCCCCTGCCGCTACCTATCCCGGGCTCTGATGTCCACAGTGCAGGCCCGGCACAGCGGGTCTCTGCACCGAGATCAGAGGGAGAGCAGCACACGTCCACCAGCACACGTCCACCAGCTGATCTCCTCTCTGATCACTGAAAGAGGAAGTGATGTGTATTACATCAATACCAGTTTCAGTGTGCCATTTTTCAGGCTGCTGTGGCTGGAGGAGAAGCTGGTGAAGTAGATCACATAGGGGGCTTGTTATCCCCCTATTTGATAACAAAGTTGTGTGTACAAAAAAAAAAAAAATTAAAGACACACACACACACATATATATATATATATATATACACATAGATCTATATATAGATCTATATATATATATATATATTAACAAACATTTTTTATAAGTCCCCCACCCCAACATACACAAAAGTAATTACGCATTGGGTGCCCGACTTGCACTCAGCTAACGTCTAAGTGCGAGCAATAATTCTAGAAACATCAATCACTGATAACACTAAACTGATGAGCAGTAAAAGCTTTTAAAGCGTTGCCTACGGCCAATTTTGAGTATGGTAGGTTTTGTGATTTTGCAGGCGTGCACAATTTTAAGGCTTTTGGTTTGGTGACACACATTTGGTGTCTATTAATACAACGAGACCCCGTCAGATTATTGGCTAATGTTTCATAACATAGGAGAAACAGTTTAATTTCCTCCAATCTTCAGTACTTTTTTCCTTATATAGTAAAAAATAGAAACCCCCCAGTGGTGACTAAATGCCACCAAAACAAAGCTCTATCGATCCCCCCAAAAATAGTATAATATTTATTTTGGTACAGCGTTGTATGACTGAGTAAATGTCAAAGTACCTCAGCGCTGAATACTGAAAAATGGCCTGGACAGGAAGGGGGTGTAACAGCCCGGTCATCAAGTGGTTAAGAGTGTATGACATAAAAAGGAATTTGTCCCTAAGAAAATAGTCTGCATTGTAATAATACAACTAAACGAAGTCAATGTACACAAACATAGTAAAGAGTTTACTCCAAAACCAAAGCATGGAAACAGAAAAATTATGGATATCTGCAGTTAGGAGTACTTACCATTATCAGGACCCTGAAGCTTCATAGAATATAATTTAACTGGCTGGTTGAAAGCTACAGTGATCAGGAGCTGTTGGGAGGTAACATAGAAGTTAGTCATTCAGAAAGACTGCTTGTGATAAGTAATGACTGTAAGGCAATGTGTCTGATTAATCAAGCAGCAATATGTGATTAGCATGCTAATAAATCCCATATCACAGCAATATTATCATATGAGGGGATGCCTCTGTCATCTAAGCCTTATAAGGACAAGAACTAATTCACTAGGTGAAAAATCTTATTCCAGGGTTAAAGATGAGCAACACCATTAACCTATTCATGAAACCAAACCAGTGATGCACAATTCCTATCGCCCAGGACACCAAGTTCTGTTCGCCGGGCAGGTGTTTTTTTCTACATTTAGCCCTGCTGTGGGCAGCAGCACTCCCTATTACACACAATGTACATTAAAGGGTAACTTCACTTTCCCATGTAATTTGGTAAAATCGAATTACTGGCTCAAATCGGGCCCCCTCTGCTCTTCCGGTCAGGACACTCTCTGCAAGGAGTTTGCATGTCCTCCCTGTGCTTGTTTGGGTTTCCTTCGGGTACTCCGGTTTCCTCCCACACTCCAAAGACATGCTGAAAGGTTAATTGGCTCTCCTATGTATGCGAGATAGGGACATTAGATTATAAGCTCCTGGAGGGCAGGGACTGATGTGAATGTGCGCTATGTAAAGTGCTGCAGAAATTATCAGCACTATATAAATACCTGTAATACATAAAGGTGGTCCAAGGTCCAAAGAAATATTAAGAGTGTGACTTTTTTTGGCCAGGCAGTGTATTTACAGTGGTCTTCTTGTTTAATTCAGTCTGGATTAACAGAGTTATCCAAGTGAAAATGCCCACAAAACTACTAACACAATGTTGGGACACATTTCCAACACAGCAAGTGCACAGATAGGCCAGACAAAATGTATATTTTTACAGTATAGATGCTACATGCAATGAAGGTAGCCAGACTAAAGATCAAAGTGATGTGAACATTAAACCATTCAATTTGGAATGAGGCATGACAAATGTGGTTTTGACGTCTAATAAATGTTATATATACTGTATACACAGCCCAGTGCAAGAGGCACTCATGGGTCTTCCACTGGACCATTTGTGTCTACTTGCCTTGAGCGCACCCAGGCAGCTTTTGCTCTTATCTGAGTATGGTGCCCACCACTGGACTGATAGATATAAAACTTCCTCATACCACAGAGTGTATATAGCAAATTCAAGTGCTTCATTTCACAGAGGCATCATTACCACCTAGTGAATAAAGTTCCTCATGACACAGTGACATAAGCTCCATGTGAATAAAGTTCCTCATGACACAGTGACATCACAAGCCTGCAGTAAAAAAAAACTGCCTCATACAAAAGGTGATACCACTAATGCCTGTTGAAAAAATGGCCTTGGCTGATAAGCTAGACACTGGTTTGGCCTACAATGTCACTTTTGTGTTTGACAGGTACACTTAAATCTGAACTAGAAAACCCAAACATGAACGGATGTTCCTCCCACAGCTACATTACTGAGCATCAATTTTGTATTTAGAATTTACCTGTTCATCGCAGTCTGATTCAAGGTACGTCGGGTCTTTCCTTAAGCAGTTCTCAAACCCATGTTCATCACTTTCATTGAGACATTCACAACCGGCTTTGCTTACGAATGGCATTAAATCTTCCTGACTTTTCATTGTTCGTGACTTCAAGCTGAAGCGAACTTGGGTTCTGCAGCAGGACAATGATCCAAAAAAATTGCACGAATTTCCATGTGCGATATTGCGTGACTTTTTCCTATTGGGCTGTATGCAATCAGGAGCAAAAACGCTTGAAATCCGCAGAAAAAAGGGTCATGTAGGAGCGACGAGCTACAAGCGATATTGAGCGGCGAGATGTGAACAGTTTCATTAAAATGGATTGGAGAAGCAACATAGAGCGATATCGCATGGAAATATGAGCGATATCGCTGCAAAAATCGCTCAGCGTGAATGGGGCCTCAAGGGTCACGGAAGGACATATACTAGCGCCCTCCCATGACTCAAAGCACAGTATATTGTGGGCTACAGCCAGGACGGATACCAACATTACATCTTAATGTACAGCTCCATGTCGCCCGTCGCGGTCGTAAGTCGCACCTGCAGGACCCTTTTTTCGGCGGATGTCGCGCAATTTTTCTATTTTTTTTTAATGCAGCCCGACGGTGAAGGTCGCGCTACCGTCGCCCCGAAAGTTGCGCTATCCCGGCCGCCCGGATCCGCTCCAAAAGGTATGTCGCTCAGTGTGAACGGGGCCTTACTCCACTCAGCGCTGGAGGATCGGAGAGGGGGGAATCCCTGCAGGGAGCTGTGACTGACAGTCACCGCTCTCTGCAGGGAGATGATCGAGAACTGAGCGAGCGACGGTATGTCTTCGCTCACTTCCCGATCTATTGAGACGACGTGTGACAGTTTCATTGTCACACGTCGTCTTGAACTATGAGGATGAGTGGAAATCACTCACCTCATAGTTCTCCTTTAAATGATTTATAGCTTTCTGCCTAAAAATATTAACAGGGAAACATAAAAGTGACATTAAACCCTCAGATTTTTTTTAACATAAACCAATACTGTAATGTGTGCCTTACAGTAATCCATGGTAGTTTCCCTTCTCTTTGCTGCTCTTCCTTTTAAATCCTTATCTCTTCTCATGCTTGGGGAGAACCTCCCTTTGCAGCTGAGTGCCTCTTCCTGTAGTGCTGGCTCAGGTTGTGAACCTGCACACAGGCACCATGTATCCATTCCTGAGACAAGGCAGTCTGCTGCAAAACAGAAGTTCTGCCCAGCATGAGAAGTGATTCGGATTTAAAAGGAAGAGCAGCAAAGAGAAGGGAAACTACCATGGATTACAGTAAGGCGCACATTACAGTATTGGTTTATGTTTAAAAAATCTGAGGGTTTAATGTCACTTTAATTACATTTCATCATATATAATAAGAGCCAATGAAAACATATACATACGTATCCTTTAGGAATATCTGTGTCTTCATTGTTCCCCGGATCATTCTCTAAGTGCTGTTTAATTTTTTCTTCTAAACCAGAAGCATCTGCGCCTTGGTACTGATCAATTTTTACTTTATTTCGGAAGAATAAAAACGTGGGGGTTGCTGATATATTGTTGGCAGCAGCTGTTCCCTGAAACAAAAAATAAAAGACAAATAAAAAGATGTTAATTCTGAACACTGACATTTCAAGGAATTCTTTCATACATTTTTCTTTTGCTTTTAATCATCCTAAGAGCGACCATATCAACTTTTACTATCAAGATTAACAGAGCAGTCAAGTATAACCACCACAAAAAGTAATACAGTGGGTACAGATATGTAGTTATATATGACACATGCGTATACCCCTGGGTCATCAGTAACTCAATATTTATCAAAGGAAATATCAAGTAAAAGTCTGTGAACTGGGAACAGAAAGTTTAGAGCAACCTCATGCCACGTCAATAAAGTCCCCCTTACATATCTGATATTTGATCCTGCCAGTTACACACTTCATGTCTTAGGGTGACTCGCTGTACTGGATCAATAGAAGAGCAGCGTTCTCACCCTAGGACAGGAAGTCTGTTAGGGTTATACAATGCTTTCTACCCTACTCATCTAAATAACATAGGAGGGATATGTTTTAGAGTTCACAGAGATGAACTGGGCAATATTATTATTATTCAGGATTTATATAGCGCCAACAGTTTGCGCAGTGGGGATTAATGTCTATAAGGAAGATATTACAATCACAATACAATTCAAGTTGGTAAGGAGGACCCTGCCCTTGAGGGCTTACAATCTAAATGGAAGGGGGAAGTGATACATGAGGAGGTAGCTGTGTGGGGATGAATTATTTGAGAACGTGATGGTTGAGCAGTTAGGTTGAGGTGGCATAGGCTACCCTGACGAGATGAGTCTTAAGGGATTGCCTAAAGGCAGTCAGAGTTGAAGACAGAGGGACAGGTTGGGGTAGAGAGTTTCAGAGGATGGGATAGACTCTAGAGAAGTCGTAGAGGTGAGCATGCAAGGAGTTGACGAGGGAGCTGGAAAGCAGGAGGTCTTGGGATGAGCAGAGTGAACAGTTAGGGTGATACTTTGAGACAAGGTTGGAGATATAGCCGGGGGGAGAGTTGTGGTTGGCTTTGTAAGTCATTGTTAATATTTTGAATTTTATTCTTTGGGCTATTGGAAGCCAGTGCAGGGATTGGCAGAGGAAGGTTGCAATACCGAGAATGCTGCTTTCTATAACACTGTGCAATACAGGATTTTACAAACTCACTGGATTTCTGGTAGGATCTACAGGTATATATTTGCACTTATCAAACTGAAATAACAAAATGCTTTCAAAGGTCAATTTAACAGACCAGAGGAGAGCAAAGAGAAAATATCCTCTGAAATGCAATAAGACCTCCCACCAAAGTCTCTGCCTAGTTCTGTCCCCCTTCTTCTATATATGTATTATAATAATAATAACAACTATATGTATTATTATAATTATCATCATTATAAGGCAGGATTTACAGTCTGAGCAGCTCTTTACAATATAAAAGGAAGACAGTACAGTAACAATATAATTCCATACAAGAGATTAGAAGGACCCTGCTCATGAGACCTTATAATCTACAAGGAGGGGCAAGCAACTCAAAAAGTAGAAACTGTAAGGCCTGGTTCACACCTAGGCGTATTGCATATGCGCGACCGTCGCGTTTTTTTACCGCGATTCACGGTAAAAAAGTTGCGCGACAAACGCGCGTTTCCGAAGGCTACTTGGCTGTATCCCAATGGAAACGCGGAACAAAACGGCCCAAAGCAGTACATGTACCTTTTCAGGCGTGGGCCGTTTTGTAGCGCGTTAGGGACGGGCGGAAATACGCCAAGGTGGGAACGAGACCATTGAATACAATGGGATTTATATTTTTGAGCGTTTTGTAGAGCGTTCGTCGAGCGTAGAACACGCTACAAAACGTTCAGGTGTGAACGAGGGCTTAAGAGTCTCATTGCTGTATTACAAACGAGAATAGGAAGTCTCTGAAATGACCATGGCAGGTAGAGAGCCTGAGGAACTGGGAACAGAGATCTCTACTGGAGGTCCTAAGATTAAAAAAAAGATGTCAGTTGGCCATTCCATCCATTAAAGGTTCAGTCCACTTACTTGGCACTGATGTACGTCCACGTCCAGAAAGATGGCTTGCGGATACTTATTACTAAGCGATATGAACACCGGCGCTATCCTTACACATGGAGTACACCTGAAATACAACAACCACAATCAAAATCCAGGCAGAATAAATGCTATACACACAAGTAGTGCTGGAGACTCCTCTTTACCTGTACCTGTAGACCTGGGTACTGGATATAATCCTCATCAGGACTGGTGACTCGCTTAATCCAATTAATATGATTATTATGGATTAGAATAAACTCAGACAATCTTATTTATAATCTCAGATGAGCAGCGATGATTCATAGACCTGTGATGAACTTCTATACATCTAATGCAGCAAAGTGACATTAGATTGTCATTACCAAGCGCAGCTTCAAACACCAAACTGTAAATCTTGACACCATACATGGGGCAGCACAATGCCTTAGTGGTTAGTTTTTTTGCCCTGCAGCACTGGGGGTCCCCGGTTCAAATCCCGGTAAGGACACTATCTGCAAGGAGTTTGCATGCTCTCCCTGTGCTTGGTTAGGTTTTCTCCGGGTACTCTGGTTTCCTCCCACACTCCAAAGACATGGTGTAAGGTTCATTGGCTCCATTCTAAATCAGCCCTGTATGTATACATGTGTGACAACACAACGCATGCTATTGCAATAACTTCCGGTATAGGGAAAAAACAGAACTGCAACGCACAGCTGGGGGGAAGGTGCGTTGGGGTGCTATTTAAATGAATGGCAATGTAACGTACCTAGTGCATGGTGGCTGGGGGTGCATGGTACCGCACGCTAGGTGCGCTGTGCGATAGTGTGAGCTAACTGCACGGTATCTTAATTTAGCGCAATGCTTCTGGTGTGAACCGGCCCTGAATGTTTAATCCCCACTGGCAATACATCCACATTGGAAAACCTGCAGAATGTCAAGGTGTGGAAATTTTGCACAGATGCACTTTAGTACCAGAGACTCCCCTAAATCTCTAATTTTCTGCCAGTAATGACCCCTCCCCCAAATTAGCTTTCTGTATAGGTTAGGCTCACAATATGGCCAAAAGTTTGTGGACGCCTGACCTTCACCCCTACATGAGCCTGTCTAAAATCCCATTATAAAACCAAGGGCATTAGAATGGACTTGCTCCCCACCTTGGTGGCTATATACAACAAGGCTTTGGAGTGTGTCTGTAGGAATTTTTCCCCATTCATATAAATACTTTTTTTGAGTGTAGATCTGTTTGTCTCAAGCGCATCACTTACCAGTGATTGATTCACTACCTCTGCTTGAGGTCATTTCCAGCAGCGGAGATAAGTCAGTCAACAGTAAAGGTGGCCATACACTAGGGCTGCAACCAACTAATCGATTCATTGATAATGAGAATAGTTGTAAACTACACTGATTATCGATTAGTTGGTTGGCTCCCGTAGCTCTCTCCTGCATGCTGGGAGGGGGGCACAGCAAGCAGACGGCAGGTGCAGTAGCCAGCCTGCTACTGGCTAGTGGAATTTGAAATGGCCAATAGCAGGCCGGCTATTCACCAGCCCACTGCTTGCTTTATTTACATCCAGCTGCCGTCTGCAGAATCGGTCCACCGGCAGCTGTCATTCCCTGGCTAAAGCTATTCAAGCATCATGTGCTTACAGTACAATTATAAAAAAAAAAAAATCATATATCTATAGATAGTTTTCAATGGCACCCCAAACACGCCCCCCACCCACAGTGTGATTGCCCGCACAGGGACGCACGGTACCGCAGTGCCATGCGTTCCAGTGCAGTGTGATGGCAAAAAAATGTGCACGCAGTTGTATTCTGAAGTAAACATTGTTTGTAACACTGCATGTGTGGATTTTCAATTAAGGATGGTATTTAACTTTTTTTAATCCGATTAATCGGAATAAAAATAATCGCCCAACTACACGATTATGAAAATAATCATTAGTTGCAGCCCTACCATATACTGTGCGAATGTCGGATGGTTCTTGAGGAACCGGACGAAATTTACACAGTGGGTGGCGCTGTTGGCACCCCTCGATCAGCTGATTGAAGGAGGCGGTTGAAAGATCTTTGTACTAAGAGAGCTGGCAACCATTACTGTGGTTACTGCGGCTACTGTGAGAATGCGAAAGAAACAGCGGGGTATTCCCCAATTAACACGCTCATAGCGCTGACGGAGGAATCTACTCTATTTTTGTCGTTCAGCCCTCAGGGTGAACAAAAAAAATACAGCAGTATATGGCCAGCTGAAGAGGCATATTCATTCTTATGCCCCTCGGGTCAGTCTAGTGACCATAATGCTGAGCAATATAAAATGTCAGATTTTTGCAGAATGAGCAGCTCTGTGAATGATTTATAAATACACCCATAAGAGTAAATTTCAGTCAAGAGCACATTTGTGAGGTCAGGTACTGATGTTGGATAAGAAGAACTGGCTCACAACTAGTGTGCCAAGTCATCCCAAAGGTACTCAGGGTTGAGGTCAGGGCTCTGCACAGGACACTCGAGTTCCTCCACACCAGACTGGTCACACCATGGCTTTATGGAGCTGGCTTTGTGCGTAGGAGCACGCTCATAATAGAACAGAAAAGGACTTTCATTAAACTGTATCCACAAGTATGCAAGTGCACAATAGTCTAATAACCCTTCAATGAAAACAATCTCTTCTGGCCATATAGGAAGTGTAATGGTCAGATGTCCACAACCTTTTGAGTGTATAGTGCACATACATGCATTTGTGATTACACACAGACGTTTTTAACAGCAAAGCCTAAAAAAAACCTTGACGTGGTGCTACAACCGCACTGAAAGGGTTAACTGCTTAGTTCTATCTAGGGGTATTTTGTAAAGGACTTTTACTAACCTGATCCCCCCAGAAGTCAGTGCCCACCTTGTCCCTCCTCCACCCCAGCTTGTGGACTGTCCCTTGGCATCTTCATGTACAATGAGTGCATCACATACAGCTCTATATGCACTCCAAGTAATATCAGTGGGCCTCCCACTGCCAGAGGCCCACTGATAGGGGTAAAGAGGCTGCAGGTACCCACCTTAGAGCCTGCAGCAGTGGGGATTAGGTAAAAAAATGTTTTTGTACATAAGTCCCCAAGACCTAAATGAGCAGTTAACCCTTGCAGTGCAGGGGTAGCTTGCGATATACTGAGCTTTGGGTCACGTGAGGAGGTTAGTATATGTCTTCCCGTGACCCTAAAGAGAACTATGGGGAAAAACACTTGCCCCATAGTTCTCTTTTAAGCAAATGTACTTAAAGTGGACCTTTACCCCGTCACTAAAAATTACATCAGCATGCAGCTCTGTATGCTGATATGAATGTAAGATGATTTCATAAGTTAAACATGTTTTTCATTTACTTACAATTACCGTTTTCCACTTCCTAGTCAACCTTGGCACAAATAATGTCATCTGTGCCCAAGTGTTGCATCCTGGGAAGGTTACATCAGCAGAGCATTGCTGGCAAATCTCATAAGATCTCAGGGAAATACATTTTTATCCCGAGATGGTGTACAGTCACATGTCCTAGTCACATGTGTCAGAGTTTCAGGAAGTAAAGGGATATAGACTAATTTCCCTTAATAAAAATGGCCACTGTCAGAAGACTGGGGAAGAAAAGAGAAATAAGGAATGCAAAGAATAAAAAGCCGGCAGTTATCTAGAAGTATGTGTTTGTAGATTGTCATTACTAAACATTTCTAAAGGTGGCTTTGGTGTTATCTTAAAGATATGGGTAAAGGTCCGATTTAAGGTTTCCAGCCCTTATTCACAAATGTGATCAGATAATGGTAGTATATAAAAAAAAAAAGTTTCTGACAACATGTAATATATATATATATATCACAAAATCTGTGCTCTTGGAACTAACTAAAAGTATATTGACCCTGAAGCTGCTATGAGAATAGTTTTATAAATTTGGAAGTGTTAACACAGCGCTAAAGGTGACTAAATAGACTAAAACAAAATAAACAGTGTTGTGGATGAAATTACTGAAAAAACTTCATACCTAATAAAAGGTGGATAATAAACTGTGAACCATTAAATATAAATATGTCCTAATACCTGATAATACGTGACGTTTCTTTAGGGAGTCAAAATTATATATCCATAAATCAATGTGAGAACATGAAACATCCCGGTGTCAAATGTAAGAAAGATTCAAATAGTGAAAAGAATTGTTATACAAAAATATGTGACATATTATTGGACACAAAGTAGCCAAATCAACATGGAACACAGATGTTTTTCTTTCAAAATCCCAGTAATAGTGGCAATGAATTGTGAGATAAGTGAAATGCTAAGTCATTTGAATAATAAAAAAAAAATAAAAAATAGTGAGAAGAAATCGTGAGGAAAAATCTTCTTAATCTAAGTGTTCTGATCAGCAGTCCCCCCAGGTAATTAGCACTCACCAGAACCAGTGAGTATATACGATCATTCAGAGAGAGTCTAGACTTCCGATCACCACGTTCGGTGTTCTCAAGCTTCCCCCAGCAGTAGGACAGACACTGACAGGTGTTCCTCCCTGCAGTATCGCCACGGTCCCGGCTCTGAGTTTGAAGCAGGCGGCGGCTTCTCTCCTCTGTGTGCCGCTGGTGTTTCCCCCGCGGTCTCGATCAGTATATTTAGAGTGGTATTGGAAAAGGAAAGTTCCAGAGTCCGCTTGAGGAAGGAACAGTGGCCATCCGTTTGTGTTTTGCCGGCTGATGTTCGTAATTTTAAATGTAAGTTGCTATTTTTTAATAAAACTTTTTGCTGATTGATTGCACTATGAGGGTTGTTTTTTCTTTTCCAATACCACTCTAAATATACTGATCGAGACCGCGGGGGAAACACCAGCGGCACACAGAGGAGAGAAGCCGCCGCCTGCTTCAAACTCAGAGCCGGGACCGTGGCGATACTGCAGGGAGGAACACCTGTCAGTGTCTGTCCTACTGCTGGGGGAAGCTTGAGAACACCGAACGTGGTGATCGGAAGTCTAGACTCTCTCTGAATGATCGTATATACTCACTGGTTCTGGTGAGTGCTAATTACCTGGGGGGACTGCTGATCAGAACACTTAGATTAAGAAGATTTTTCCTCACGATTTCTTCTCACTATTTGGACTTTTTCTTTTTGATTTTATCATTCAAATGACTTAGCATTTCACTTATCTCACAATTCATTGCCACTATTACTGGGATTTTGAAAGAAAAACATCTGTGTTCCATGTTGATTTGGCTACTTTGTGTCCAATAATATGTCACATTTTTGTATAACAATTCTTTTCACTATTTGAACGCCCGGCTTTCTGATTGGCCGGGTAGCTGACTCCTTGGTAGCTTGTCACCAGGTGGAGCCGGCTTCCTGGGTGGTGTCCCCTGTCATGGTGATCGGTATACAGTATATAGGGGGTGGTCATGTCCCCTGTCATGGTGATACAGTTGGGGGTGGTGATGTCAGTGATCTGTATATAGAGGGTGGTGATGTCATGGTGATCTCTATACAGTATATAGGGGGGGGGTATCCCATCATGGTGGC